CAATTTAGCACGGCCAATCCACCCTAACCTACACATCCCTGGGCACTACGGGGCAATTTAGCACAGCCAATCCACCCTAACCTGCACATCCCTGGGCACTACGGGGCAATTTAGCACAGCCAATCCACCCTAACCTGCACATCCCTGGGCACTACGGGACAATTTAGCATGGCCAATCCACCCTAACCCGCACATCCCTGGGCACTATGGGACAATTTAGCACGGCCAATCCACCCTAACCCGCACATCTTCGGACTGTGGGAGGAAACTGGAGCACCCAGAGGGAACCCACGCAGACACACGGGGAGAACGTGCGAACTCCACGCAGGCAGTCGCCCGAGGGTGGAATCAAACCCGGTTCCCTGGCACCGTGAGGCGGGAATGCTCACCACTGAGCCACCGTTCGGCTTTGGCAAGTTGGTTGGTGTGGATGGGACCAAAGGTGACCTACCGACAGCAGACCTCTCAATGTTCAGCAGAGGGGGATCAGAGAAACTCGACATCACTGGGTATTTCTGCAGCAGCAAACACAAAGAAATGGGCATCAGACAGGCACAGTGGTGGGGCACCAGTAAGGGCACATCTGTGGGCATTTGAACAACACGAGGAATGCCGGCCATGCCGATCCAAGGAAGCGTGCAATGCAGACGGATGATTCTTGATCGCTCCCTCGGCGCCGACAGCGCCCGCTCCCTCACCCCAACCGACAGCGCCCGCTGCCTCAGCACTGACCCCCACCACTCACCTCATTCCTCCACTTCTTCAGACAGTCGAACAGCTCCCGCTCCCTCCAGTGCCTGAGGACGTCCTCCAACGCCCTGGATCGCTGCTCAAAGGTGACAAGGTGGTCACTGAACCCCACGTGTCCCGGGGTGCCATCGGTCAGCTGAAACACCTCAGGGTGGGCACGCAGTAAGGGCAGCAACCTGGGCTGTACCACGCCCACCGTGTAACCCCCGACACGGAACGGCCGACACACGGACTTCGAGGAGCCTGGGGCCGGGGGGAGACGGACAGTTCAGGACTCAGACCAACATGACCAGCAGGGGGCACTCAACACTAGTACTCAGGCACTCCCCCCTCCGTCGCCCCCCTCCGCCCCCCCTCCCCGTCTCCGTCGCCCCCCTCCAGCCCCCCCTCCCCGTCTCCGTCGCCCCCC